ATCACCACGGATTGCTTGAACTGTTTAGGCCATTTGCCGGTAAGTGTATTAGAAATGTGACAATGTATTAGAAAATACATTTTTTATTAAATAGGCAATGGGACCAGTTAGTATTTATGATAGTTTTTAAGTGCCTTCTTCAGATTTAATACAATCTATTCCTGGTGCTTTGTTTGATTTTAAGAAGTCTATAATCTGAATAAGGTCATTTTCATTCACAGGTGATAAAAAAAGCAGTTTATTGCAACGTATCTCTTTAGTGGTTGAGAGAAAGGTTTTATTATTTTCTAAGCATATGTTTGTCAAACTTTCGAAAAGTATTCGTTTAATTTGTCAGCGATCTCATTTGAGTCGGCATTACTATGGTTATTTGCAGTATTATTAGCATTAGCATTAGTATAATACTCCCCACATGTTTTCTGAAAACATTTTTAATAATTTCTTCATTAAAGTAATTTTTCTTTGCAGCCTTGATAAGCAAGTTTAATTGCTTACGGCATTCTATATAAGCCTTTCCTCCTCCTCCTCCTCCTTTTTTTCTTTGCTTGCTGGCGCATTTATATGATTCTTGTGCAGTTTATTTTTTTTTATTAATTGATTTGAATAATCCTACTTTAATCCATTTTTTCGCTTTTCTTTTGTGTGTTTTATTTTAATGGTTTTGGTATGTGTACTTATATAGTCATTTATTGTGTTTATTAGGTATTCCGTTATGTATCTAAAATTTAAGTTGCTTTGCAACCATTTATTACCTGTTCAGATTTAAATTTAACAAAAAATGAGTAATTTTACCTCGTTGGTTTACAAAAGTTGTGTTGTGAAACATTATTCAAGTAAGCATTATTTATTTTGTTATTTTCGAATATATTGTTCTTCCACCAAAATATGACAATATTTTAAAGACAAGATGTTTTTGTCTCCTCTAGGTGTTCGTGTTTAGTTTTGATACGAAATCATCTACATGTGTTAAAGGCGGACGATAAAGCGAAGTTATTCCTTATTCCGTTATTATTTCCTTGCAATAATCACGATCATTGTTTAAATATTCTACTGTTCCATCATTTCTATAGATATTTCCTTGATTATAAACTGTATGGTACACATAAAGTAGATGACACTCGATGCCGTCATTTTTAAAAGCTTTTGTGAGTACAATACATTCTACGAGTACGAGCCCCTTCCCATATTAATAAAATTGTCCCAACGATAGATTGATAAGAAAATTAAATTTTAGAGAACAAAAATAAAAGCGCAGCGTAAATTTTAGAAGTTTTAATGCATCAAACAACATTTTTGAATTTACGAATTATAGAAAATATTTTATAACGTAATAAAAACTATTGATTCAACAGAATAATAATATATTTAAAAAAACGCATTGAATATGTAATATTAACAAAAAAAATTGAAAGTTTACCACTGAGTTACATCCCCTTTATTTTTAATGACACCCACAATTCTTCGAGGCATAGTTTTTACCAAGTTCTGACAAAATTCTAAAGTAAACGAATCCCATATTTCTTGCAATTTTTCCTTCAATTCGTTGACGGACCTGGCAGGATGTTTTCCCAAAGCTTTTTTCATTTCGCCCCACAAAGTCTATCGGGGACAAGTCGGGACTGTTAGAAACCCATTCCAGAACTGGTAAGCCATGGTCTTCAATCCATTTTAAACTCGTTTTTGAGGTACGACAACCTGCGCCGTCCTGTTGGAAGACAAAATCTCCTGCTGATATTAAATGGTGGTCCATAAACGGTAAAAGAGATTCTTCTAAAAGATTCAAATATTTGTCCATGTTTACAATCCCATCGATAAAATGTAACTTTTCCACACCTTTAGACGACATGCTGCCCCAGATCATGACATATGCAGGAAATTTTACTTTTGTCTTCAGACAGTCGGGATGGAAAGCTTCATTTTTCCTGAGAATGAGGCGACTTCTACTTTCTCAAACACACACTTCAACTCTGGACTCATCACTCTATTGTATTGAATCCCATTGCGACTGAGTCCAATCTTTATGTTATGTTGACCGTTTTAGTCTATTTTCTTTTATTGTAATGTTAAAAGTGGCTAAAATAAAATAAAATTTATTGAAAACAATCCGTACTAAATTTTTCAGATTTAAAACTTACTTTGTAAGTACCAAATCCTAATTTGTGGGCCTCGTGGTGACATGTTGATCTAGAAACGTGTCTTCCAATAACGTCACTCCATAAAATGCTTAACTCCATATAATTTGCTCGTAGATTTTTCACTATAATGCATCTTAATGTGCTTCGATCTGCTTCGGATATTTTCCTTTTCCGTACATTTCTAGGTTTTGTGACGACCGAACCTGTAATTTTGTATCTTCTGACTATATTTCTTACACTATATTCGCAAAATATTCGCGATTTCCGAATTGGATTTTTAGAATTAAAAAAACTAATAATGATTGAACCAATTTTCTCATCGATAACTTTACACTTTAGTTTTCACAATCAATCCTCCTCCTCAGTCCTAATCCCTTTTGGGATGTGGTGATACCATCAGACCTTCACAGTTTTTTTTAGGATTTCCTTCCATCCTTCTCTGTCCTGGGCTAGTTGTTCGGCTTCATGTAACCCTTGGTTAATCAATGTTTTTGTTTGATCTACCCAACGGCTTAGAGATCTTCCCCTAGGTCTTTTTCCTTCAACTCTACCCTCGACTATCAGTTTTTCCATCACAATCAATACACCATAAAAAATATAGTCTACATTTCAAATTCGCAAAGGATACATGACACAATTTTAATTTACGTTAAAGGGAAATACACCATTCAATTCGGTTGAACAATATCGATGACTCAACCAAAATGAACTATGTATTTTGCAATTCAATAAAAGCGTTCAACGAAACTGAACGTTGAAAGATGTTGAGCCAGTTTCTACTTTTGTTCAACTTCGTTGTACACCGTTTGTTTCATTTTTAACTTGTGATATAATAAGTTCCATACTTTATTACAGAAATAAGTAATATTTTCTTTTAACAATGGTGCATATATGGAAAGATGAAGAGACTCAGATATTGCTCGACTTAAGGTGGAAATACACCATTCAATTCGGTTGAACAATGTGGATGATTCAATTACATTGTTCAATCAAATTGAAAAGCATACAGATACACGCTTCAATTTATTCTTTATTCAATTCAGTTAAACAATGTGGATGATTCGAAACGTACGTACGGAACTTATTATATCACAAGTCAAAATGAAAAGATTTAACTCGATGAAATAAACGGTTGAATCGAACAAAACTTGTATAGACGAATCAATGTGGATGAATCATCCCAGTTGTGCAACGAAGTTGATCGAAAGTAGAAATTATCTCAACTCATTTCAACGTTCAATTTTGTTGAACGCATTTATTGAATTGCAAAATACATGTTTCATTTTGGTTGAATCATCTACATTGTTCAACCGAATTGAATGGTGTATTTCCGCCTTTAAGGGTATGCACGCTTGTAGCTTATGCCGATAATCTCGCACTGGTTGCGAAGGCGGGTCAGAAAACAGACATGACTAATGCGGCTAACACAGCCCTGCATCGCATTAGTAGATAGATCAGAGAAAACGATCTACAGCTAGCGCCTACGACAACTGAGATGTTAGTTCTCAAAGAGAGCCGAGAAAAATCCTCTCTTCGCTTTATAATGGAAGGTGTAGAGGTTGCAAGTATTTGGGAGTCTTAACCAAAAGGAAGGTGCTAAATGGAGTTTTCCAGTCGGTGGTAACTTACGCTGTCCCCATGTGGTGTAGCGTACTGAACACTGCGAAATACGCTAAGCTGATGGACACTTCGCAAAGACGAATGCTTCTCAGGGTATCTAACACATATAGGATAGTTTCAAATGAGGCTCTATATGATATTGGAGCTGTGATACCGATCGTTTTGTTGGGCAAAGAGCGAGGGAGGGTGTATGCGAGGAGGATGGATAAAAATAAAGATGAGAATAAGAGGGAAAGAATGATAGTAAAGTGGCAGAAAGAATGGGCGAATGATAGCGGTAAAGGCAAGGTGGACGAAATTCCCGATCTGAGGTCGTGGTGGGAATGTAAGTTCAGGAAACTAGACTACTTCCTGACGCAGTTTCTGACCGGACATAGTAGTTTTGGCACCTTCACAAATAGAATAGGCAAATCTGCCTCGGCAGACTGTACTGTTTGTGGAGTATCAGACGCTCCTGCCCACATTTTTAACTGCCATAGATGGGCAAATGAGAAGGAGATTTCTCACCAAGAAAACATTGTAAACATAATGTTGAGATGAGATAAAGAATGGAGAGAAATGAAATTGAGCCAGAGATCTGAAATTTATGGTTAATATTATTTATTAGTTTATGACGTGTCTGAAATATTTTATGATTTACGGTAATAGGTATGGTTACTTATAAGTTTTTAGTTTTTTATTTTAGTTGTTCATTTAGTAGCAAGGTTTTAGCCGGAACACGGTTAATCTCGCACTACACTGGGGTTGGGATCTTCTAGCCTAGTATCCTACTCGGCCGAAAGATGCCAGGGTGTCTTGTTCCGTGACGTAGATGTCCAAAAAAGATTTCCCCAACCGTTACCTGTCAGAATTCAATGAATATCTTCTTAGGCTCTTACTGGAATCTGGCAATACGGAAATTTAAAAAAAACATTTCCCACTATTTTTAGCATTCGATAATGTTATTTTTTGATATTCTACTTTTGTTTGATTGCTGTTGTATTGGTTGATATTTGAATAATACTTTTCATTTTTGACTTATTTCTCGTTCCTGTTTTTAAAGATGTAAAAATAGAGATGTAAATGTAAAGATTTTACCGATACTTTTTTTTTATAAATATCACATCATTGCGAGTGTTTCTTTTTGGCTTGTTCCAGAAAACACGTTTGTCACCTTTTTGGTTCCTACCCTTGTATTTCTTAGTATTATACAACCTAAAAACCTTTAACTACCAAAATCAATGGTTTTAATGAAAATTGTTTCAGATACTGCCTATAATTATAATACTGAGGAACCCGTTGGTAAAGTGATCAATAGGTGGATCGAATCAGGAAAGGTTAAGAGAGAAGAATTATTTATCACAACTAAGGTAATTATATCATTTGTGTTATTTAGGTAAGTTAAATTCAATTTACATAAATATGACAATGAAAACGTAAATAAATCGTGTTTTATATTTTTAGTTGGGATTTAAATAGAAGTAATATTTTTAAAGATTTTTACGACAAACTTTTTGTCATGACAATTATCTTTTTAGTGTTCCGTATCCTTTAGGGTGTTAGCAATGATAGTACCTTAATTTATATCCCGTAAGTTTATATATCTTGTATATCCGTAAAACTAAGAAATAGTAAACAGGAGATATGCACATTTAAGACCGATATACTTAAAATAAATGACTGGAAAAAATGACAATCCACGTAAAACTAAATTTAACATAGATTCACAACTGCTAATAAGGAAGAAGAAAATTTAGAAAGAAAAAGTAAACTGAACTTGAAAAGACACTACAATCACAAAATATAAAGATATAATCGCAATGACGGAGCGACCACAATAACTTGGTGTTTGCAACGACAGTGGTTATCGTCTCATACACTTTTGCCAAAAAACAACCTATTTAGTAGCAAGTAAACTATATTTCGACTTATTAAGCATAAGCGCTCTTCCGGTATGGATCTATGGAGGAGTATCCAGTTACGGTGATGTAGAAGAGGTAAAAAATAAATATAAAAAGTCAATAGAGCAGCTGAATGTCTAAACAATACAATGCAAACTAAGACAAGAGTTTATAAAGTGATTATGAGATCGATAATGACATATATAGCAGAAACGAGATCTGATACATCTAAAACACAAAGGATGTTGGAGAGAATAGAAATATGAAAACTAAGAAGAATTACGGGAAACAACTGAGGACCCAAGAAGTGGCGAAATCAGATCAGCATGCAAGGTGGAAAAATAGGCGAGTGGATATTGAAAAGGCAGACAGAATAGAATAATCATATAAGCATAACGAAAGACGACAGGGTAGTCAAGGAGGAGAGTAGGAGATATATTGACAATATAACATAAAAACTAAAGGCACAATTCAAGAAATCATAAACAAATCAAAATTGACTAATAAGAAGATAGAAAAACATCAATACCAGTTTTTTATTAGTATTTTCACAATTACACTTAGAACAATGATACGGTGGAGATGAAAAACTGAGAAGAGCACAAGCAATACACTGAGAAACTGAGAGGAGTGAAGAAATGAGAAAAAAAGTAACGTATAGGTATCAAGATACTAGACAGAAAAAGGGTGATTAGGATACTAATGATATAGGTATGATCGAGAAAGCGGATAGTCAAAATATAAGCGATAAATCACCAAACAGTAGAATGACAACTTTCCATAGACGTATCATCAAAGAAGAAGAATCATTTGAAACATTGTTTAGTTTACTAGCTGAAAATTTTTTGGGCTGAAGCTGTAAACACTTTACTTAAAAAATAAATAATTAGCTTTTGGTTTAAACAAAACACCGTTTGAAATGTGGATAGATAGTAAACCTGATGTTAGTGGCCTTCGAATATTTGGCAGCAATGTGATGGTACACGTTTTAAAAAAAGGTTAAAGGGAAAGAAAAAGGCTATTTTGCATATATATTTTAGTAGGGTATGCTGAAAACACAAAAGGATACAGTGTGTATAATCTAACCACCAAAGAAATTATAGTAAGCAGAGATGTACGAATTATCTTCTTCTTTTAGTGCCATCTCCGCGACGAAGGTTGGCAATCATCATGGCTATTCTGACTTTCGATGCAGCTGCTCTGAACAATTGCCCTGAGCTGCAACCAAACCACTCTCTCAGGTTCTTCAACCAGGAAACGCGTCTTCTTTCTACGCTTCTCCTACCCTCTATTTTTCCTTGAATTATAAGTCTCAAGATGTTGAATCTTTCGCCTCTCATTACATGTCCGAGATATTGCAATTTCCTTTCTTTTATTGTATTTTCCATTTCCCTCTCTCTGCCTATTCTCCTTAACACTTCTGCATTCGTGACTCTATCTACCATGAAATCCTTAACAATCTTCTAAATGTCCACATTTCAAACGCGTTAAGTCGATTTATTGTATTCCGGTTTAATGTCCATGATTCAGCTCTATAGTAGAGTACACTGTGTACATAGCATTTAATTAGCCTTATTCTGAGGGCCAATGTCAGGTCTTTGCTGCATAAAATCTTTTTCATTTTCACGAATTTGGCAAGTGCTTTTTCAATTCTGACTCTTATCTCTGAAGTATAATCGTTATTGTCTGTAATTATCGTTCTCAAGTAAGTATATCTTTTTACTCTCTCAATCTGCTGGCCGCCTACAGTTAGTATTTTATTCGTAATATTTTTCTTGCTAATTTTCATGAATTTGTTTTTTTTTGATGTTAAGAGAAAATCCGTATTCTCCACTATATCTTAATATTTTGTTCATTATTCTTTCTAAGTCTTCCAATTTGTAGCCTATTATGACTCTATCGTCGTCATACATAATTTTGTTAATTAAACTTCCGTTCACTTTGACACCGATTGTCTCGTTTACAAAAGCTTCCTGTATGATTTCTTCAGAATAAGCATTAAACAATAACGGCGACAGTATGCAACCTTGTCTGACCCCTCTCCTTATCTCCACTTCTTCTGACACTTCTTTTCCAATTTTCAGATTTGATCGTTGGCTGTAGTATATATTTAATATCGATGTTACATCCCTCACATCCAGATTCTTGTTTTTGATTACTTCTATAAGTCGGTCATGTTTTACTTTATCGACTGCCTTGTTATAGTCTATAAAGCATACATAAAGATCTCGATTAACATCCAAACATCTTAGGGTCAGCACGTTAAAAGAAAATAGTGCCTCTCTTGTGCCATTCCATTCCGAAATTCAAACTGGGAATCAATAATATCCATCTCCAGCTTAGCGTGTATTCTATTATGGATGATTTTTAGCAGAGTTTTTAAGGTATGTGATATTAGACTGTTCGTTCGATAATCACTACATTCTTTGGCATTTACTTTCTTTGGTACAAATTATGGAAGACACAAAAAAGTTTGAAGTGATTCATTTTGAACATAATGACGGTATTAGATTTTTGTTTCGATGCAGGGCAGCAGCAAGGCGCTTATACGTATTTCGACCTCTTTAGATCTTATCAGAGCGGTATATGCCACTGTGTTCGTAGTTCTCTGCCACTGCTCTGATCAGACCTAAAGAAGTCGAAATACGTATAAGCGGCTTGCCGCTGCCCTGCATCGAAACAAAAATCTAATACCGTCATTATGTTTTATTTCTTTACTCTGAAGTACCAGAAACTGAATTCACTACGAATTTTGACAGCTGGAATGCATATTTTAGATTCCCCTGCAGAGTAATTTATCAAGCTGTTTGCTTTGCAAGTTGTAGAAGGCACAGTGGTAAAAATTTGAATTCAGTTTCGCCAGGTAGGAAATCGTATGATTTCTCTTGTTGATTCATTTTGATTTAAAAGATGAACATCACAAACATAAAAGGGAACAACACAAATATAATCTTGAAACTGAGACTAAAGATAATGGTAATATTTCTAGTGATTAAGAATCTAGCTACTATGAGGAAGATAACTGAAGTGATAAAGACTTTGAAGTACCCAATTTACCTGAAACATTACAAGTAGTACACAGAAAGTCAGAACGAGTAAGAAACGACTTTAGTGAATATGTAACATATATGTGTACGGAGACAAGTGACATAGATAATGTTCCGTTAACAGTCTCGGAGTCATTGCAACGTCCTGATGGAGCAAAGTGCTGAGAAGCCGTAATGGATGAAATCCAATCTTTCCGTGATAACAATGCGTGAGATGTGATAAATGTGTCAGAAAATTAGAAATGTGCAAAAAGAGTATTGAGCTAAAAAGATGATTCAGAATTGCAAGGTTTTGTAGAAGCCGATTGGGCAAGCAATACATTAGATCATAGATCCTTTACTGGATATGTATTTAAGCTTTGTGGCTCTGCAATATCTTGGCAAAATGCAAAACAGAAATCAGTATCTTTATTTAGCTGCGAGGCAGAAAATATGGTCTTGTCAGAGGCGGCTAAATGTATTACTTTATTTACTGATAATCAAAGTTCTTTAAACTTATCAGCAAATCCAATTTATCATAAAAGAAGTAAGCATATTGATGTAAAATATCATTTTTTAAGAGACCTAATATCTGACACAATGATTAATGTAAAAAATATGCTTACTGATGTTATGCCAGCTGATGTGTTGACTAACGGTCTAGTTGCTGAAAAGTTGCACAGAGTATTGAAACTGTTAGGTATGGGGTTTATTGACAAGTGGGAGTGTTAAAATATTGACATCAACTAATCAAAATTTAAATATTGGCTCCATAATGTCATTTACAGGAAGTAAGATGGTACAAAGTAAACTGTCAATTGTGTTCATTTTTGGAACAAAATATTAGTTTTACCTGTATACTCAACTGGTGCGTTTCGTTTATAATTTTTAACACTTGCTTTTTTCTAATAAGTACATATTAATGATACTTTCGTATTCTGCTTGATCTAAACATCTGCAAGATTTTATTTTTATTTGAAATATTCTGTTTTAGCTACCAGTGTTCGGAAATAGACCTAAAGATGTGGAAAAATACCTTAAAATGTCACTAAGTCGACTAAATCTTAATTACGTGGATTTGTACCTTATACACATGCCTTTTAGCTTTCATAGTAACAAAGAAATGTCGGCACCTTTAATAAATGAAGATGGTACATTTAGCGTGGATAACAATAGTGATCTTATAACTACATGGAAGGTAAATTATTACGGTTTTCAAGAAAGTCTTCCTTATATGAAAATTTTTAGATGGAACAAACATCTAGACTTTTGCGTCTGCTTAAAAGTTCTTAATAATCGCTTAATAAGTTGCATACATTAAGCGAAAATCGGTGATTAAAAAATGGATTGCCTATTTATCTATTGACCTCGGTTCATTTTTTATAAAACCTTTGTCTTCTATATTTCAATATTTTAGCATAGGTACCTATTATTAAGTTTCACCGAGCGGTTGTCAGTAAAAGCAATCCCCCACTTACTGACCAACGGCTTTGCGCGGATGAGTTGGTAAGTGGTAGCGCATCCTTTTGTCCTGAGGTTGTGAAATCGGCCTCGAAGGCGGATGAACCAAAGATTTTATCAACGGTATAAAGATGGGGAAGCACAAGTAGGGCAAACACTCCATTAAAGATCCACAGCGATACGCCCTAGGCAGTCAATCATGGCAATGCTCAATACTAAAATAAATTCCAGAGTAAACCCTTCGATCGGGTCTCCGGGGAGGACAGTTTTGAATTTACCGAAAAGTGAAGTGCAGAAATAATATCAAGATCTGCACATGGAACGTCAAAACTTTATACAAAGCAGGAAAAATCCACAATGCAATACAGGAGATGAAGAGAATGCATATTGAAATCATGAGAATAACAGAAATGAGATGGCCAGATTCTGGAGAAATACAAATAGAAGATCACAAGGTGTATTTCTCGGGAAAAGGTGATGGATCACATGAATATGGAGTCAGAATAATCGTATCACCCAAGCACAAAGGAGCATTTTCTTGTTCGTCTCTTTCATTACTTTTCTCTACTTCCCCGATATTCCTGCTCTGTTTAATTTTGTATAATTGAAAGAAATGCTTTCCCTAGTTCTCTTTACTGATTTTAGGTCTTATTGTTGTCTTATTGTTGTTACATTATTTTTAATATATGCGTTTGTAGGCTTCTATTGCTTTCTATTTGCTATTTAATCCATCCTATTTTTTATTTTTATATAATTTTGTCGTTTACTGTTTTTTTCTTTTGTATTTATTTAGTTTTTCATCTGTTTTAATTTTTTTCCATGTCATACATATTTATTTCTTCTCTATGTTTTTGGCTTTGCATTTTTAATCAAACCACTGTTTTGATTTACTATTTTGCCTTTGTACTATTATTTCATCTGCTGCCTCTAATTGGCCTAACACTTTTTAGAATAGTGTGTAGGTATACTTATTTCTCTAATCTCATTACTTTGTCATATACTACATTATACTAGATAGCTGATTTAGAAGGTTTCTGTGTTCACCAGGTTTATTCAGAGTTCTAAAATTCCATGATCCAACCTTGAAATTTATATTTCGTTGCCAAAGTCGTCCCCAGTCAATCCATTCTATAGCATGGGGCTTATCTGTTGGTTCCGTAACAATATTTTTTTCGTTCAACTCCCGTATTGGATGACCATTTTACGCTCTCTTTAACTCTTACACTGTTAACAAAAGCAGCATTATATATTGCGCATTTCTACTCAAAAAATATGCTTCTCGTTAGGGAGGCATTTAACTGCTTTGCTCTCCACATATTTGCTCATAAACCCAAGAGAGAGAAAAAAGTATTGTATTTGTGTTTATATATTGGATTAAACAGTTATCGTTCTCTTTGTTAGTTTTAAATTGTATCTTGTCTACTTATAAGATTCCTTTCTATGATTAATATTTTAATTGACTATAAACTTTTTTTCTCAATCCATTATTTATGGTTAAAAGATGGATGCATTTCCAATTAAAACTATCTTGATAATTGGATTACCCTACGCAGTTAGTGCTGCCCAGAAAGCGTCGTCTATCAGAGTCTTTTATATACGCTTTTTAAACAGTTAATATAAACTGAGCAAATTATACTCAATATCCAATCATTGATTCCAAGAGAAAACGGATATAAAAATGAAAATAAAATAAAAAAATAAAAATGATTATTGCCCTAACAATAATTAAAATTTCTACAAATTTATAAAAAATATTTCAGCCTTCTTTTCTTCTTCTGCCAACGTTCCGCTTCTGCACCATTTTCTTTCTGGGACCGCATCTTCGGGCACCTGTTTCTGTACATTTTTTCTGTAGGTACTATTTTTGGCACGGTACCCACTTCCCTGATTGGTTGTCTTCGACAACCACCTAGCTAGATCCTGATTAGATCTGTCTGTGTTTCTCTGCACATCTTCTGAATTCGACTTCTATTAAGGAGTCTTCTTGTGGCTTAGTGGAAGAAGTATTTTGTCCTGTTCTCAGCCACCTTCCTCAGTGGTGTGTACTGGAGCCTTTCTTAAATGGTTGCATTTGAAATTCGTTTTTTCTTTGGAAAGTCGATCCTTTATCGTTTTTGTTATTTCAAGTTCTTCCAATTAAATTCTGCTATCGAACTCCAAACTGAGACTGCATACAAGATGGCTCGTTAGAGGACTGTTCCTGAAAATAAAAAGTTTTATTAGACTTGTTGCTATACATGCTTTTTTCGTGACTTCTTGTGTGTTTCTTGTGAAATTTAATCTTCTTTCGAGTTGGATTCTACGGTATTTGACGACATCTTCTGATTGGATTCTGTTTCCTTTCATCGTGAGTTCTACTACAGGTGGAGTTTGTTGCAGCGTAAAAATGATAAATTGTGTCTTCTCCGTGTTGATTTTTGTTTTCCAATTTTTTTCTAGTCTTCTCTTCCTGCTGTGTATATTGCTGTGTATTATCTGCGTAAAGGGCTGTAGTTGTTCTTGTAAGTAAATCTGAAACAAAAATGTTGTGTTAATGGGAGTTAAAATTTGGTTAGTTGAAACTTGAAATGTTCTGCGTTGCACTATGGTCATTAAGTAATGAGGCAATCTAGCTTTGACCGTATTTTAGATAAGAGCTTTTTTTCCAGAGTTTATAGTACGCCTTTTCTATATCGACAATAGTCATTTCTGTTTTTTTGGTTTCTGTTAAAGCAGATTTTTGTGTTACTGGCCACTTCTAATTGAAGTTTGCAATTCTGAATCAAAATTGGTCTTCTTTATATGATTCTTCTTCTTTCTGCAAAATTTTCCATTATTTTTACTAACAATTCCAGTAGAAACATTATCCTGTAAATTTCTGGTCGTCTTCCGTCCTTCCTTGGTTTTAGTAGAGTGGTGATTTTTGCATGTTTCCAGTAATTCGAAAAGTGTACATTTTTGTCACAATCTGTAGATGTAGAATCATTAGACTATTATTTTCTTCGGGAGTTCCTTTAGTGCAATATTATAAATATCTTCCATTTCTAGTGCTCTGTATTCTTTTAGTTTTCTTATTATATTCGCAACTTCTGCTGCACTTAGGTTGCACTCCACTACTAAAAATACATTTCTTTCTATTATCCTCTCGTATTCGTTATTTGCTATTTCTATGGTTTGTTCATTAAACCTTTTTTTAAGTTGCTCCTGTGTTTCTACCATTTTTCTCGCAATTTCATCCACTTTTTCTGGATTTTTGAAGTGCGTTCCTTCTTTCATTCTCTTTTTGGCTTATAGAATTTTCTTTACGTTCTATCCATTGTTTTCTTTCGCTTTTCTGATGCAGTTGTGCCATTTATTTTCGGTGAGGCTTCTAAGACTTGATATTATTTATTCTGATAATTTATCCTCTTAAATCTTGAATATTCTACTCGTCTTGTTATTTGCTATGCTCTGCTGGTTTTTCTTTTAGTTTATAGTGTGCCCTCATATCTTTCATAATTACATCGTTGGTGATGAATAGGTTGAGTGTTTAACCGTTGTTTCTCGGATTTGGACTGATTATTGTTGGTTTGTCTTCGTCCGATGCGAAAATCATTCTATTTTTATTATCGCAGTGAAGTAGGTGCAGAAAGAACGTAAGCAATTACTTACATGTTATATTTATAGACCTCTCAATATCTGATACGTGATCATGACACATGCAGCGGTTTATTTTTTCACTTCGCATTTTCCACACCACCTGACTTATAAATATGCTCCTATGTAAATATGCTTTTTTTGTTGACACTGTCCAATCATTTTTAGCACACCAGCCTATTCTAAATATTTAGTCATAAGAATAATTTATAGGAAATGGAAAACCAAGTCAAAAATGGTTTGACCAAAGGTATAGGTCTCTCAAACTCAAACTTAGAGCAAGTAAAAAGAATATGCAGTGCAGCAGAGATAAAACCAGTGGTATTACAAGTTGAACTTCACGCATATTTACAACAGAAGGAATTAAGAGATGCTTGTAAAGCGATGAACATAGCAGTAACATCTTTTGCAACTCTAGGAAGTCCTGGAACAGATCAACACTTTTCTAAAAAATATAATCATGCGTAAGTATTTATATTAATGTCAATAATTCAAAGAGTGATATTTTAATGTTTTTTATTTTTTTGTCTCTACCATGGTCGCTGGCAGCGGGGTCATTAAAATGCAATTTTACAGGAGAAGCATAGTAAAGAAAAATATATATGTATGTATATATGCATCTTTTTGGACATATTTATATATATATATATATATATATATATATATATATATATATATATATATATATACCGATTGTTGTCCGATTGAACCCAGCACTCATCTGAGTGATCCTTATTTATATTGGATAGACGGTCGTACTCCTTTTTGCGATATATATATATATATATATATATATATATATATATATATATATATATATATATATATATATATATATATATATATAAATATATATATAAATTAATATTAAACTCACCAGTCTTCCGGGTTGAACCGCGTCCATATCCATTGGGCCGAGCTTTCGACATCCTCTCTGATGTCTTCTTCAGGGCTTCCTGAAGCATTAATTTTTTTCTTAAATTTTATTATTTGTAAATTCAGATCATCAAGGATCAATTCCCTGGTTATACACAATTGTGTATAACCAGGGAATTTTTTTAGTATATAAGTAACTAGGTTAACTGTACATAAATTGTGGTGGGTAGCATATAGTATTAGATTCTATATATTTGGATAGGTATTAAATTTTTTGTGAAGACTAAATATTTCAATTAATACCTGTTTTCCTTTTGATTTTAGCAAAAGGGGTATACAGCTTTACAAGATACGTAAGGGGTATAGTCTATCACTTTCATTTACATTATTCATATATATTTTTTATTAACTTGTCATTCATTCTCGCATTTTACGGTCTCTGTAAGGCATGCAAATTGGCCAAATCCTCTTTTGAGTGTTAAGTAGTCACTCTCCGACGCATTCCGCTAGCCAGCCTTTAATTTATTTGTTTTTTGTTACATTGGGGCTCTATTGAAATTTATTACATTAGTCCAAAATACTTTTGTTACATTACCATACACAATTTTCGTTACATTGGCGTCCAAAGCCCCCATTCACACTTTTTGTTACAAGTTAACCTTTGAACCAGGTAATAACAAGACTTTTTCAATGCAATTAAAAGGAATGTCAATATAATCTGTCACAAAATTTTATGAATCGAGATAATTAACTTATTCAAAATAGCCATGTTTAGCAGTAGGGTAGACCGGGGACAATTGAAACATTTCTGCATTTTGATTTTTTTTCTCCGCATCTATCGCAGATTTCTAAATTACGAAATTAGTTATAAAAAGCGTATCCTATTGTGTTTTCATATATATATCATTATATTTTGTCTATATAATGTCATTAATAAGATATTAAATAAAAACTTGAACTTGTCAAGTTGTTTCAATTGTCCCCGTGGCAGGGACGAATGAAACAGATACCTGGGACAATTAAAACAGCACTAAGACATAGAAAAATAGTGTTTATTTTAGTGAAAAACATACAATATAAAATATTTTTTATTCTGAAAGGCAATTGTGGCATACGTATAGTTCTTCTTGGCGAGTACACTCTTCATGGGACCAATAACGACACTCAGTGCACTGCACCCATTTCTCTCCAGGGCGACTACTACGATCTACTTCCAAGCAAACCAGACAATAGCAATCATCCTCTTCGTCGCTATCACTCTGTTGCTGATTGTTCTGGCATTGTTTGGTTTTCTTGTATTTTCTAAAAGTTGTATTTGATTCGTCGTTTAACTCAATCACTTTTTTCTTAACCTGTTTTTTCTTTTTTGCGTCATATTCCTCTTGGATAGCATTTTTCTCCGGCGTATCTGTATAAACTGCAGACTTCCTCACTTTTCGTTTGCCAATTGATTTTCTAGCGAGCGCTTTCGGCAACGGTCTAACTGCTTCTGGTGAAAATACAACCTGCGATGCTTGAGCAGTGCAAGTGCTTGGAGACGCTGGCGGTGTGTGATTTTGTGGTGATGTTGGCAAGATATCAGCTCTCTTAGTATGTAGAGGATCTTCACTAGATGCTTCTTGAAGAACGTTAGTGGCATATGGTATCGTGTTATTAAGAGCTGGTCTATCTGTGACATATGAAGGAGCAAAATCTAGTTCCGTAAATATGTCTTTGTTAAACGAATATATGCCTGTGCAAGCAAATCCAACTATAATATTTGATTGCGTGAGGGCCAACGGTAGAGATAATTTAGCTATGCTGGATATGTCGTAAATTGTCATTGTTTTTCCTGGATTATTTCTCACCCAAGAATCGCAACTTGAATTGAAAGCCTTTTTGAAGGAACCGTAGATAGAATGATCCAGAGGTTGCAACTTATGCGAACAGTGCGGGGGAAATGACAAGACGACAATGCCATTTGTTTTACAGAAATCCAAGCAGCGTATACTTATGTGCGACTTTTGGTTATCAAGTAAAAGCAATACTTTATTTTCGGTTGAAGCGTTAGTATGCTTTTGAAAATGATTAAGGTATACCAAGAACTCTTCCTCTTGCACCCACCCGCTCGCGTTTCCCGCTCCAATACACCCCACTGGACCGTCACGGACTAAGTGATCCTTGTATCTTTTTCGTGGAAAAAATTAAAAGGGGCAGTATACTGTTACCGATAGCATTGACGGCTAAAGCTGTGGTCACGAATGTTCCCCTCTCTCCGGATGTAAGTGCTCAAACCTGTCTTGTCCCTTTTCGGCAACAACTTTACTAGGTTTTTGAACCGTCGTTATTCCCGTTTCATCAATATTTATATATATATATATATATATTATATATATATATATATTATATATATATCTTCTTCTTAAGGTGCCTTCTCCATTACTGAAGGTTGGCTATAACTACAGCAAATTGCTCTCTATCTTGAGCTGTTCTTAGTATCGCATGTGTGTCCATGCCTGTCCAGTCTCTTATGTTCTTCAACCAGGAGCATTTTCTTCTTCCTGGACCTCTTCTTCCTTCCACTTTCCCTTCCATTATAAGTCGTAGGAAGTTGTATTTTTCTCCTCTGTAGATATGTCCTAAATAACTCGTTTTTCGGTTTTTTTACAATATTTAGGAGTTCTCTGTCAGTACCCATTCTTCTTAGCACCTCGTTGTTGGTCACGTGCTCTGTCCAAGAGATCTTCAGCATTCTTCGAAAAACCCACATCTCAAAGGCTTCTATACGCCTCATACTTGTAATTCCGAGAGTCCATGTTTCCACTCCGTATAGCAATATGGAATAAATAAACGTTTTTACAAATTGGTATCGGATGTCCAACGATAACGTAGAGTTTATTAGAAATTTTTTCATTCGCTGAAATGCGGACCTAGCATATTCTATACGAGCACGTATTTCGACCTCGTGGTCAAGATCGTTTGTTATCCAGCAACCAAGATACTGGAATCTTTGTACTGGTTCTATATGTTTGTTATAGATACGAATATTAATGTCGACATTTGGTGTACGTGTAACAGCCATCACTTTTGTTTTATTTGTGTTTATATTTAGTCCCAAGCTATCTCCCTCTCTGGTTATGACATTCAAAAGTCGTTGTAAACCCTCAGCACTGTCCGCAATAATGACGGTGTCGTCTGCGTATCTTAAGTTGTTTACGTATTCTCCGTTGATTTTTATTCCTTCTTCAATATTTTCGAGGGCATTTTGAAAGATCTTTTCGGAATATATATTAAATAACAGTGGAGAAAGTACACAGCCCTGACGAACTCCTCTTTTTATTGGCAATTCTGCTGTCAGACGATTGTCTATTTTGATAGATGCCATTTGATCCCAATATAGTTTTTTAATAAGTGCTACAGTGTTATGGTCTATACCATGTTGTGTTAGGGTTTCTATGAGTTCTGTGTGTTTAACTCGATCAAACGCTTTTTCGTAGTCGATAAAACAGAGAAAGACGTCTTTTCGCTGATCTCGGCATTTTTGTAGTAATACCTGGAGGCCAAATAATGCCTCCCTTGTACCAAGCCCCATACGAAATCCAAATTGATTGTCGCTAAGGTTTCTTTCGCATTCTCTGTATATTCGTTGATGTACAATTTTGAGTAAAATTTTCAGAAAATGGCTCATCAGGCTAATTAATCTGAACTGTGAGCATCTATTTGCTTTATTTTTCTTGGGTATAGGTATAAATGTCGATCTAAGCCAGTCTTCTGGGAAGATTCCAGTGGTATATATTTTGTTAAATAATATTGTTAATGTCTGAAGATTTTCTTCATTGATGAGCTTTATCATCTCTACGTATATTTCATCTGGACCTGAGGCTTTTCGTGACTTTGCCGTATTGATTGTTTTTGTAACTTCAGATGTTAATATATCAAGTATTGTTTCTTGTACTATATTCATTTGTGGTTCTGTTCTCTCGTCATCAAACAGATCTTCGATGTATTTTTCCCACATGTCTCCTACTTCTTCTGGACTAGATACTATTTCGTTGTTATCATCTACTAAAGTTGTTGTAGTGATTTTTTTCTTCATATTTGTGACTTCCTTAATCTTTTTGTAGGCATTAAAGTAGTCATGCTTTTTTAGTAAATGTCCCAGTTCCTCACACTTGCTGCTCATCCATTCTTCTTTGGCTTTCCTAATTTTGTTTCGGATGATTCTCTGGGTTTCTTTATATTTTTCTACATTACGATTTTTGTAAGATCGCCTTATGTCCATCAGTTCTAGGATTTCTTCTGTCATCCATGTATTCTTTGTTTTTCTGGTGCTGTCTTGTAGTTGTTCTCTTTGTATAGTTGTCATCGTTGTTTTGAAGGTGTGCCAAATACTTTCTATTGTCTCTTCTGCTTCCGCGGGGGTTTCACTGAACTTTTCTTTGAGTGTATCATTGAGTTTTTTCTCTATTTCTGCCTGTACTATTGGGTCTTTAAGTTTTTCTAGGTTAGGTTTTATATTCTTTCTGTATTTGATTTTTTTTAGTCTAATTAAAATTTTACCAACAACAGGATTGTGGTCGGAACCGATGTCCGCCCCGGGATATGTTTTAACTCCCTTGATTCCATTTCTATAACGTTTCTCAATTAATATATAGTCAATCTGGTTTCTTATTATGCGGTTTCGATTATCGCCAGGTGCTTTCCATGTATATAACCTTCTTTTGGGTTGTTTAAACCAGGTGTTTGCGATCATTAGATTTTCTTCTTGGCAAAATTGGACCAGTATTTCTCCTCTATCATTTCTTTGGCCCAAACCAAAGTTTCCTACTACGTCTTCGGTCCGCCCTTCACCTACTTTGGCATTAAAATCTCCCATAATAATGTTTACAGCATTTTTCTTTGTGATCTTCATTAGCTGCTTGATCTCTTGGTAGAATTCTCGTACTTCTCTTTCTGGTTTTTCTGCTGTAGGAGCATACACTTGAATAAGGTTAATATTACGAGGAGTGGTATTAATTTGCAGCATAGCTACTCTATCAGATATAGGTATAAAGTTCTTTATACATTTACTGCTTTTCTGGTCAACTATAAATGCCACTCCGTTATAATGATGAGGATCGTCGTTACCAGCATAGTATATCACATGGTTATCGATGTTTGTCTGTCCAGATCCAGGCCATCTAACTTCACTGACTCCGAGAATGTTGACTCCCATTCTTTTCATTTCTTTCACGATGTTATGAGATTTTCCTGGCATATAGAGAGATTTTGCATTCCAGGTTCCAATTTTTAACTTGTAATTTTTGTTTTCCACTTTCGGGTGGTTCCTAGCATTTGTCGTGGGGATTCTTAGCACCCCTTGACCATCTAAGGTCTGCCACGGACTAGGGGCCTTTTGTTTTCCGTAACTTGCCATAGTTATAATATCTTGAGAATTTAGTGTGTTGGTTTCTCCTTGCCTTACACACCGCAGTATTATAACCGATTAAACCAATATCTGATTGTCGCCCATAATTATCTGCTTCCAAACCTGTTAAGAAGTCATTCTTCCCCAGCCTTGGAGTTAGTAATGACATAGCTGCTGCCCTATACCATGTCCTCAGTTGATCCGCGGGTGCTTATTTGGCGAACCTTATTCGCACCTATCCTGTATAATATATACAGGACGTCCCCGATCAGCCATATGGGACGCGCCGTGTCGGGGATGAGGACTTCCCCACCCAGTCTGTCTTTTGCGAAGCGTTGAAGAATCCCTACTTAGTTCAGAACTCTTCCTCCACAAAAGCTGAGACCGGCACGGATATATATATATATATATATATATATATATATATATATATATATATATATATATATATATATATATATATATATATATATATATATATATATATATATATCTTTTAGTTCAAATTTGTACTTATCCATTACACTAGCCAGGTTATCATAAAAAAGTTTTACGTTTGTTACATTGAAACTGGTTGCTCTGGAAAGACTTGTGGCTTGAGCGCAGCGGATTGAAAGTTCTGGATTGCGTTTCATAAATTCAGAGAACCAATCTTCTCCTGCCATAGCATTTTGACTCCAGGTATCAGGCATGTTCAACGAATATTTCACGGATAATTGAAAGGCCAATTTCCGAATCTCTTTAGGCGGTAACCCGTAAAATATATGTGCCGCTTTGATTATGTATCCAGCAATCCTTTTTTCCTAGTCTATGTCAAATACTCGTCTTACGTGTGTATAACCCATATAATAACCCATTGTGCCTGGAGTAACTAATCCTTGGTCAATTGCTTTTTTCTTTTTTTTTTTTTGATAAATCTACTTAATGACACGTAATGTAGATCAAATTTAGCTGCAGCTGATCTTATGGACGTCTTATTTTCAGTAACCTCTTTATAGGCTTCTTCATAAACCAAAACGGGTTTTAACCCCCTTTCCGTTTTTCTCACTCGTACTCGTGGCATCCTAAAACAAACCAAACAGTTAATAGGGCTCGTGCACAAGCTACGTTGACAATTTTTCCAAATTTTTTCTACAATTTAATCTACGTTATCTCACATGAATTTGAGGGGGTATTAATAACGCCCCTAAAGTGTTAACCACTGGATACTCTACTACAACGTACAATAATAAATAACATAAAATACTGCTCTGGGGACAATTGAATCATGTTTTAATCGTCCCCTATACTATTTGTTTCAATCGTCCCCACTAGACATTTTTTCGTAAACACTTAAATATCTTTTCACTCTAGGACAATAGTAATAATTTAAACTGGCCTCCATAAAGAAGAAATGCCAATTTAACTACAAAAATAGTCGAAGCTGCATACTTACGTTCCGATATGTTGCGTCACCTTTTGTTGTTCAGTGCAAAAGTTTACTTCGGTAGCGGTAAATCACGCTAACGAGAATGTACGCATGTAATGCAAACGACAATCAATGGCTGACTGATAGAGACACCGGTCTCCTAGAGGCGCTGCGTTTTCTACAAGCGCGCGGTTTTAATCACGGAATACTACCAATATGGCGGCTGTTTCAATTGTACCCTGTTTCAATTGTCCCCGGTCTACCCTAAACGCGTTATTATATTCTTCTTGGAATCGAAAATAAAATGTCGCAGTTGCATATTTTGCGGTTTTGCATAAATATCTATGGTTAGGACATTCATACGATAATTAATTCTTAACACCTACTTGATGTTATACTTAGATTATTTGAAATATAATATTTTTTTGTAGAATTGATAATTTTCCGGATATTTTGGGACTGCCACTAGTCAAAAACCTGGCTCAAAAGTACAACAAAGCACCTGGTCAGATTTTACTGAAACATTTTATTCAACAAGATATCTCTGTAATCCCAAAAAGTAAAAATCCTGCAAGAATCAAATCAAACATTGACCTTTTTGATTTTGAGTTATCACCAGAGGACCTTCAACAATTAAATGAGCTAGATAGAGGAGAAGAGAGTAGAATATTTACTTTTATTTTTTTCAAAGGAGTGGAAAACCATCCAGAATATCCATTCAAGTAATATTTATTTTTTATACACATTGCTTGCAATAAAATAAAATTACATTTCCATTAATTTATTTTTTATTTATTTTTCCATTCACACAAAACTATTTGTTGTCACTCCCTGGCGTAGGTGAAATAACTTTAAAAGGTGAAATAAAGTGGAGTCAAATATAAAGTTAATAAAAAAAATGCATTATTTATTTTTCTGTAGTATCTAGATATGGGAGAACTGGTAAAATGAGGGATTTTAATAATAAAATAGTATTTTTTAAACGATATTTTATATATTAAACGATAATTTTGGTAACATTTTCGGTCTATTGAAACAAACAGCCATAAATGCTATAAACAAAAATTTTGATTTTTTTTTTTTAAGAAATATACCTAATATAGAATTAAAAAAGAAACATAAAATAGCATTTACGAAAATCTATACATCCATGAGAAAAAATCTGCAAGAGGTAAAATTGACAGGTTGATCTGCACCCCCCAAAAGACAAACTCCACTTTAAAAAAATTTGAAAAAGTTTGAGAAGGTATATGTGATGACTAGAAGTATTTTGACAAATTTTATGCAAACTTCATGTTTTCCTTTCTGAAAAAACTGAAAAAACTACTTTTTTCCAGGTCTAAAGCGGGAAAACCAAACATAGGATTTTGTTAATTTTTTTACAGCCTAAAGATATCATTATAAGAAATACTTATGAATTTTTTGTAATTTTTTAATTTACAGTTTTGTCCCAATAGGAAAAAATAATATACTTCGGCTTATAATAAAGCTACCGGTAACAAACCGAAAAATTTTTTAATAAAACTATAAAACTGGAAAATATTTGCGATAAAACGTTAAATATTTTTTCCTAGAAAAAATGAAAAATCTCTTTAAACAAGAATTATGTCTTGAACTGCCGCCATCAAATTGTAATGTGGGAGATGGCTCCATCTGAAGCAATGGTAGTATTTATCATGGGTAGATAGCATGATAGCATGATACCATGATAGCATGATATTTAATAGAAATGTTATCGGTTTGAATTTTGAACTGGCCATGCTGAAACTTACAGAGTTACAGAATAGTAGACACTGAAACTTTTATTTTCAAAATACGATATCATTAAATTTACACTCTATAAGTAATAAGTATATCTATATAAAAAAAACTCTTTAGTTTTAAAAACCTATTCAACCGTTTTTAGTTAATTATTTTAGTATTTAAAAACAATAGTGTTCCTTGCATAACGTATTAGTGGTAATTTTTATATTAGTCTTAGCATTAGTTTTAGTGTTAATATGCCTTTTAGCTGTTTCGCTGGCGAGCTAGCGAGTTTCCAGCTGTTCTCCGTGCGTAGAGGTTTTCTCCCCGGCTCTGGAACTCAATTTTTTGCAATGTATGTTACCTGAAGTCATATTTAATTTAATACTGAACATCACAGTTTTTTTTTTAACAACAAGATGTATATTCTTTTATAACTATATGTAATTTAAAGGGTTTTTACCCATGTATTTTTGGTGGCTCAGGCATTTTAACCTAGCGATTTTAAAACCTGATGATGGACTGATTAGTCCGAAAACGTTTGTTTTTTTGATGTAGCCCTTTTAAGGGTTTTTATATAAATATACCCACTTACGAAGACTAACCTCTTTTTTTTGTGTGTGATACGTGGTATACAGCCAGCTACAGGAATTGTTTTCCTTGTGGATTTTACCAATATTAAAATCCACAAACGCCCTTCCCGCCAAACACAAAGATAGAAAAGCTCCTCAATAGATAGAAGCAAAATATATTCTCCGTAGTAAAACGCGGCGTTAGCACAGTGGGCCCTGTTGCTCACACAAGGATACAGTCTATATTGTGGTAATGTATAATATTTATATATTTTCTTTATAATAATGTAGACTATATACTAATTATGATTCTTCTGTTCACAGGTGACCTACAAAAAAAATCACAAAAAACGGCTTCGGCCACCAAAAAAAATAAAAAAAAATACTAACAAAAAACCGGATTAACAAAAACCCCTAAACCCGGGCACGTAGGGCCCAACCCCCTTGAGCACCAAGTCGCCGAACTGAGCCGGGACTCAGAGCGGAGACTTGAGGCCCAAGTAAGCAATTTTAGTTCGCGGATAAGCTACATTAAGATAAACAGGAATAAAGCGGAGATGCGCTGTCCTGAGTTTTCACATACGGTTAGGAAACCATGTTGGGGTTCTATTACCCAGGACCTCCACATGAAGAGCACTTGGCTGATTGTTGTGCCTCTATAGCGAATCAGATTGCTATAGGGGGGAAAGGCATGGTCTAGAGCATTGGAGCACGGTGGGGTGACTCCTGTTTTTAAACTCGAGTTAAAACACCTTGCTCCAATGAATTGTTACACCCGATCGTACTACCTGGGTAAACATTTCTCATAGGCTGTGTTCAATCAAATTGCTTGCTTGCTACGCGGCGTTAGTTTCTGCTTACAAACGAAGCATTAACATCTCCAGAAGATGCCAACCCCTAGTGTTGGCGAAACGTCGAGAACTAATCTCAGAAGACAACAGCCCGAACAAACAGTTTAATAACGTAAGAGCCAATTTCATTTACTCCTTGTGTTCCTTCTCCTTCATGCCATACAAAACAAATTGTAGCTTTGGAACGCAGTTCAGTAATTGTAAAATTAAGTATATTTATTTTCGAAATAAACACCATAGACTTCGTCCTGTGGACAAGGCATTACAGCCTGCAAACCATATACTGCAACTATAAATATCTCAGTAACTTTTTTTTGTCTTTTTCTTTTTCTGATCTTGAAAGGATTTTCTCTATCAGGTAGTTTTTATGTTTCGCTTGTAAACTTGTTTTATCGTCAGAATTATTAAAGAATGTACATTATTTTCTTCACACTGGTCTTTCTTGGGCCGACAGGAGATATTAAAGTCTATCATAAAAATGTGATAATACATTTGGTATGGAATATATTGTGTATCCTCAGAAATACATTTAATTTATTAACATAATTTCGGTGTAAATCAGCAATGGTAAGACCACCTTCTATATATTCGCGTTTAGAACGAGATCTACAATAATGGCTCTCGATTCTCGGAATGGAGTTAATATTATCCCTGACATCGTCGTAGAGATGGATTAATCTGGTGATGATTATTGTGTCTTCCTCTAAGGTCTTAATCCTGAATGCCTTTGACAGTATAGTTGTTGTTTTTTTTTTACAACAGTTCTGGTGGTTTTCTGAGAAATGCCTTGGATAGGCGAGACCGGGGCTAGTTGACTAAAATGTTTAGTTGACTAATTGCCTCTATATTGTTCTGAAACTATTTTCTTGTGGCATTGTAAATTAATTACTATTAAACTGGGAATAAGCTACAATTAAAGATAAAAATACGTTTATTGACGTTTCAATTTCCACTTCGGAAATCGTTCTCAAAATACAAACAGTAAATTAAACAAATTTTGTTTTTTGTTACATGAAAAAAAAAATGTAACAAAAAACAAAATTTGTTTAATTTACTGTTTGTATTTTGAGAACGATTTCCGAAGTGGAAATTGAAACGTCAATAAACGTATTTTTATCTTTAATTGTGGCTTATTCCCAGTTTAATAGTAATTAATTGCCTCCAGTTCCTCTAATGCAAGCTCTTTCGTCTCCATTTCACAATATCGGTCTTATGGTCGCTTGTGTTTTGTGTCGGTAAGAAAGAAAAATCTAGAATCATCCTTGGTAAGTAATTACTTTGGTTCTCAATATTTTCGAATTATTATCTACAAAATCGTTCGTCTCAAATTTCACTGAATGATTTTGATAAGTAACATACATTGACTATAATTTGAAATGATTTATTCATTCCTAAGTTAACGCATGTCTATCATACAGCCCTCGAAATGACAGGATGGCGCATGGGGTTTGTCGACTAAGTCGTGTTGGGGTCTATTGACTTAGTCGACAAACCCCATTATGTACTCAAATTTTAAAAGTGATGAACCAAGTTGGAGTCTTACAATGGATTAATAAGTTGATAGAGATATCGGGTAAGTGATAACAAACGCTTATTAAAGGGTGAGTTCATACCAAGTATTTTTAAAAAAATATTCACAATACACGCGCGCCGACCGCTTTGATTAGCTAGTACTGTTATACAAACTTTACAAGCTACCCAAGAGCCCAAGAGGTACTGAGACGCATGAAATTGTAAGTGATGGTGCGGTGCGGTTACCTGGTTTACCTGGTTACCACGAAATTCGCGTTTTGGGACTGCCCACCGGTAAGAAATAGGATAGGTACCGGATCTCTATAATTTCTTTTATATACATATGTATTTTTTAAATTCATTTTTATGTAATGTGTAAAGTGAGAGTATGAAATAACTGAAGATATTGGCAACTCTGAAATAATTTAAGGTTGCACCAAAGAATATAGACGCTTAGAAGCTTCTTGCACCACAGAATACTCCATCCCAACTGGAGTATTCTGTATTGTTTATTATTCTGTGATTCTGTGGTTGCACTCAATTAAATGTCAATGTCAATGTCGAATATATATTTGGTTATGTTTTGTGCACTAAATTGACTAAATATTAGATATTAAATCAAATCTATATTCTTTGATTAAACTAGTCGTCGTCTGAATTTTCTTATAAGTATTAAATTATAATTTGATTTGCTTTTTGGATGTGAACATAAAACTAAAATTGATACATAAAATCAAATATGGAAATAAAACAAGAAGCTAATGAGGAAACTTATAAAATAAAAGTAGATGACACTACTCGATACAATGACAAAAGTGTTGGTCTTTTGGATGTCTGCAAAATTGAAATTAAGGAAGAACCCAAGACAGAAACCAGTTACGAGACATTTGATTATTTAGACTTGAAGGAATTTCCGATTAAAACTGAAGTAGAACAAGATGAATATAAATTTACATTATTTGAAGAGAAGCAAACAACAAATGAAGAAAGTAAGTAAATAAAACTGATTAATTTAATAACATGAAAACAAATAATTATATGTTGAGAACGTTTATTATTAACTTTATAAATTACGTATATGCTATACATTTTTATGTAGGTA